CTCACCTACTTCCTATCTATACTTCAAAGCTGTGGCCAAGCCTCAGGAGGCGGCCCTTTCTCAAGGCATCCCCATCACAGCTCCACAGGACGAAGCCCCTCCTGCAAAGTGGGGTTCACTTCTGTTTTCACCACATGTGATGCTACAGAAATACCTACCAGGAGACAGGAGGTCACACTCCTATGTCAAGAGCTTCTCAGAGCTCTTGACCCCAAATGCTCGTCATCACCTAGAAGTAAGCTCTGCCCATTTACTGCCCCTCATCTTGAAGCCATGCCTCTAAGCCTGAGGGAGCACAGGAGGATATGCAAGATTGTAAATTCAGCTCTTGAGCTCAGTGACCTACAAGTTTGGCACAGAAGAATAGTAGGAGAATCTGACTTTCTACGATTTGCCTGAGCCACAGAGAGCTGAGGCCATGGCTGTCCCCATAAGAAAAAATAACTTGCCACCAAAGCAGGTGTCTTCAGCTTCCTTGAAGCTCAGAGATACCTCGAGCTTTTCTGGATCAAATTACGACAGGTGCGGGAGACCTGGCTCTGTCCAGGCTGGAGAGATGCACCCCATATCAACAGCCAGGCCCGATTTGGACCCATCGTGCAGGTGCATTATAGTGTCGTTCTCCCCAGAAGATCCTTTATTTTTAACATGAACTACCACTGGCTTCCCTCTGCATCAGCATCGGACTACCATTCCGTTTGTCAAACCATCACTGAAATATTGCCCCTTTGAACAAGTCTGCAGTGTGCCTGAGGCAAGGATGAATTATCCTCAGCTCTAGACATTTTGTTCCTGTACATCTCGAACCACTCTGAGTTCACAAATTGGGAGAAAAGACCTTGACCTAAATATCTGCATCTCTTATACAGATTAATTGCTTTGTCTGCTAAGAGCAGACTGATGGTCTGCAGGAATAAAGGCTGAATACCTGGCAGACACTTCTAAACTGCGTATTTTCCTAAGTCCTCATCCTGCTTCAACATTTTCTACCACGCAACAGCTTGTCCAGATGAAGGAAACTGGAATCCTGTTTGCTAACACAGTCTCTATCTTGACGGTTTATAATTCATTTATCACTTTTTTCACTTTTTTTTTTTTAGAGAAATCTTATTATAAACATGTCAATATACTTCTAAAAAATCAGGAGAGATTAGGCAAAGCAAAAGCTTGGGAAGGGGTCGAATACCATCTCCAGCCATCTCATCTATCTCGGGACTCTTCCCTCCTACAAATCAGGCATCTCATGTAATTTTCTCTGTGCAGCCATCTCAGTTTCCAGCACGTCTGAAGGATGGAACCCACAACTTGAGAGAGGCCACATCTCAGCCTGCCTTTGCTGGTGAGGAACATGCCTGTGGAACCAAACCCGACACAAAACACAGCTGCAGAGCAGGAGCCAGCTGCGCCCACACTGCACGAAGAGCACACACCTCAGAGAACGTATGAAACAAGGCATAAGGGAACTGGGATACAGACGAGGGGAGCAACGAGTCGCCTGGCTGTGGGACAGGCAGTAGCTATCCACAGCACACTGCTCCGGTATTTTCTAGGCATCACTGCAAATGGGAGGAGTAAGGGGACAAGATAGTACTTACTATTAACCACACACAAGACAAGGCAGAAGTTAACCAAATCTCATTTTTGGAATTTGCAGAAATATGGACTCCAATAACAAGGGAAATTTGTGGGCTGCACACCGAGACCCTTCCCAGATTCACACAAAATGGGAAAAAACAGACTAACCAGCCAGTCCAATGACTGAAGGATGGCTTACCATGGGGGCGAGTACTTGGGATTTTTCTGTATTTGCTTTTTATTTTTGTGTTTGATAAACAAGGAATTTACTTAAAACGAAAGTTTAAAGCTTTTTATATTGCTTCTTGCACATGAAAACGGCATTTTTTTCCCCACATGCAGAACTTAACTAAACACATACGCAAATATTTCTTCCCAGATTTCAATAAAATCATGTTGGAAATTGTTGTGCACACAAAAATAAAGATCTTGACAAACTCCACTAAAAATAGAGAAACAGTTCTGAAAAAACAAACACACACTAAACAGGAAAAAAACCACCCAGGCAAGTAGCAAACTTGAGACTTCTGTAAAGACCTAAATATTCTCTTCAAACAATCATTTGGAACCTTCACCAGAAATAGGTTCTCTAGTAGGTTTTCGTACTTTGATCAAGGACTGACATACAAATCCATCAAGAACTCTTCCATCATATTAAAATTGTTGGAGAAGTTCCAGAACAGGGAAAATTGCCTTTCCCCCTGCATTCTCCTCTATGCTGCCTTCATATAGCCCTGAGGAGCAGTACAAGAACTCATCTTCTGCTCACTCTGCTGAGGCCAGTCCTTCAAGCTCTCTGAAGAGAAGCTGTGGTCCCATGCAGATTTTCATGGCGCTCAGTCCAGCAAAGCAACATGGTCAGTGTGTTGTCCCTTGAAGCCTTTCCCTAGTAAGCTTAAGTTGAGCACTTCCAGGGAAATCCAGCCTCTCCGAGGTCTGGGGGAGTTTTGTCACTGGCATCACTGCACCAGGACGTCAGTCTGAAGGACCTCTATGAAGTTAAGAGAAGCCCTCAGTGCTTTGTAGGTTACATTTTTTTGTCTGCCCCAAAGAAAACAAATCATGTCATTGTCTACTTAGCTTTAAGCCCGCAAATGCTCTGAAGCACTCATTTTGTCAGGGCAGGACAGTGCAACACATCTGCGGACAGGTCTGTCTGGTGCAGGGTCAGGCTGGGTGGCCTGGTGGTGCCTGGAACAGGAGGATGGAAACAAGGGGAACAGTGACCCCCCCCTAGCCATCTCTGGTCACACCACCAGATGTTTGCCTGCATATGCCCAGAGCTAAACCAAGGGTGGCACTTGGGCCAGAGCAGAAATTGCCACCCCCCTACTCCGGGGTGCACTGAGGCACTCCGAGTATGACTGGGACACCGGGGAGGACTGCCACAGGAGAGACAGTGGCATCCACAGCACAGGTCACACCCCCATGGAGCTCTGCTTTCCCTTTATCTTCTAGACTGCAAATGAATAACCATTTAAGACCATTTGTTATTTAAATAAGGCCAAAAAAGGAACATCATTATTATGAAAACCACTGCACTGTGAAACCTGTAACATTTAAATCCAACTGTTGACCTTAAAAAGTCGCAGCTCACTACACTTCCAGGAGGTAAAAGGGGCAAGCGAGTACTGCAGAGGGCAGCTGTGGTGGCACATAATTCTGTGTTGTAACAAGCTCCTCAGTAAACCTCTGCAACACATTTTGTTAACATCTACCTGCTGTCCTCCCTTGTCATTTTCTCCTTCACCAATTGATTTGTCTCCAAACATCTGAAGAGACTGCCTGACTTTAATCAAAGCAGTATTTCATAACATTTGCAGGTGTCAGAGGATGTCAGAGCTCTTTCAACTCTTCTAATGTCTTTGAAAAGCTGACGTGCTCTTGGGACCGGCCTCTGGCTCACAGCCCTGAGAAATGCTGGGAAAACCCCCTTTGGTAACGAGTTACATACTGCACACACCAGTGTTGCCCAAGGCGGTGTTCTCCATGCCAGAACCTCCTTCCAGAACCAGAACCAGCTGAGACCCATCACTGCCAGGCTCTCTGGGACAGGGACAGTGACACCTTCTGCTCTGGGTCAGGGTGAAATGTGGGAAATGCTGCTGTGACTTAGCTAAAAGCAGTTGGTTGAAAGGAAAACCTCGCAGCAGAGACATCCGTGGTATTAGAAGGCTGACAGCAAAGTCTGACTCCTCTCTCAGACATCCCAGGTGCTTCGCCATAGAACTGGTCAAAGAAGGAATCTGACCTCTTCATTTATGCAGCAGTGAAGAAATGATGTTAATCAGCCTTGGAAGTGGGGAAATGCTTAACACCACACTGGACACTGCCTAACGCTGCCTCTGCCAGGGAAGTAGAGGGAAGCAGCAGAACTCTGGGGGAGCCACAGGGCCCAAATGGGGGGCAAAGAGAGCACAGCCTATCAGTACTGTTTTTAGAGGCACCAACAGCCACTCAACATGCAAAAGCCAGTCCATTATATTTAATTCTGGAAATGCATTTCAGGTGGCACACTCCTTTGATAGCACAAGAGCTGTGTTAAATTGTGCTAGGCATCGCAAGTAATGGCAGCAATGGGCTGCTGTGAGTCAGCCAGCCCAGCATCAGTTCCCCTCTACTCCGGTTCTTCGTTCTGCTGAAGTATAATAAATATTGCTTACCACCAATATTTAGGGGTTGAAACTACCCTGCAGAAAATTTGCACAAATACTGCCCTCACTTCAATCTTTTTTCTGTTTTTCTCCAGGGGCACTGGAGGTAGCACCACACCACGAGCCCTGGTGCTGCAGGCACAGAGCCTTATGCTCACAGGAAGGCAGCAGATTATCAGAGCTGAGCAGGGTATTCCAGCTGGGCAGCCTCACACCTCAGGAAAATCATTAGTACCATGACCAGGAAAAGAGAGTAAATTCCAAGCTGAAAGAGATCTGTGACCCCTGACAGACAGCAAAGCAGGCAGGACGCTCTACTGAACTTCAGGCAATGCTCTGACTCTTCAGCTAAACTGCTTCACACGCCATTCATTTCCTCCCGCCTGACCCACAGTTTTACACAGCAAACAGCTATACCTTTCCTGCCCAGAACTCCATCCCAATTAGCTGTGGGCTGTAGGGAGGCCGCTGCAGCTACACCAGCTTAAACTGGTATAACAGCAGGGAGAACCAGGCCCTTCGCCTTTAAAAGCTCAACACTGGCCTTAGATTTCCATAGCCAGTACTTTCCCACTTAATCTTCTTTGTTGTAATTCACAAAAGTAAAATAAACACTCTACAAAGGTAGTATCTGAGTTTGGCCATTTTTTTGTTAACGCACAGTGCTAGTTACTGCTATTAACTCAATAAAAAAATCTTTATTCTGCTGTTTGAAAGGAGGCAATATCTGCAACCTGCATTAAAAATACCTTTCACACTGTAAAAAACAAATGAAACACCACAGGCTACAACTTTTCTAGAATCACACACCAGTTTCCTTGATCATAGTAACTCTTCTGAACCCTCACGCAATCCAGGGATCTGCACACTGCTTCCAGTTCCCCTTCACAGAACACATGGTAGTAACGGTGGAAAACAGGGCTGGGTTCTTGTGATTCCTTAGAGCCAGCTGGCAATGACACTCTATCAACACTTTCCCTTTTCTTTTTAGTGCCACCTTTCAGGTGCCAGGGAACCAGCAAATCTTGAGAGTGAAAGGAGGTTCGGTTAGCGTGAACAGGCAGTCTGGAGTCTGCGACTGGCTCTGCATCACAGCCTTCGTCCTTCGAGTCATTACGCAGTCGGTCAGAACGTGATGAGTCTTGGCTGCTGCTCTCAGGCGTTTGATCACTAAGCGGTCTCTGGGCTGTGCCAGTATTGATTTCCTCCTCCTTGTCTTTACTACCATTCTTGTCCTTAAGGTATTTAGACTTCTGGCTTTTGTATTCTTGTTCCATTGCCCAGACATAAATGAGTGCTGTTCCACCCGGTCTTAGAAGTCGAGCTAGTTCACAGATGGCAGCCAGCCTCCTCTCCTATAAAGCAAAAATGACAGCGTGAAGCTAGTACATAAAGACAGAAGAAGGGAATGGCAGCAGTTCCTCCTTTCTGTCTCTCCCCAAGACACAATAAAAGCAGAGGAATTTTTTCCACTATTCATTTTCATTCATAATATAGTCCATCACTATGCTCAAGCTAAGACATTTTCCTGAACAATTCTCTTTCCACCTGATAACAGTACCTTGCTGAGCACGATTTCTTGGACATATCAGCCCAGTTGGAAATGACTTCTGGAAGTCAGGAAATGAAACCTCTTCAAGAAGGCTGTTCAGTATCTAAAATCCCACATTCAGGTCTACCACACCTGATGATACACACCCTAAATTTTTAGCTGAAGGGTCAGAGTTACAACTTAAACAGGTCCTCTGACACCCCAAACAAAGATACGGCATCCTTCTCCAAAACAGATTTCTTTCTACTTTTTTATATTGCATTTGTAAATATTCGCTGTATTTCTCATATGGAGAGACCACTGGGCCCCACCTCAGATTACAGCTCCATGGTCTAAAAACTTGTTACAATTGCACAGCTCTTGCCAGGAGAAGATTACACAGCCCAGAGACACAGCAGACTACCGAGCAGTGTCCCTGCTGTTCTTCATAGCTGGACAATGAAGGCACCGAGAAAAAAAATCATGAGACCTGCTCAAGATCTGAGCCAGGAAGTAGCACATCTCTTGACTGCCAAAGCAGAGCCCCCTTCTCCAGTGTCACTAATTGTAAGCACACAAAAATGAAACACAAACACCTAGATCAAGGTGCCAGCAGGAGCATGGGCATCTGACAAGCAGAGGGAGAACGTGAAGAGAAAGTCTAAGCACCACAGCTTAACTCTGCTCTGACAACTGCTTACAGCAAACCTTCACTTTCCACCCACCATTTCGTTCTTCCCTTTAGCTTCCGCGAGCCCAAACTAGCTGATTTTTTATAACATTAGCAGCTCTGCACAGCAATACAACAGTACAGTGGGGCGCACAGAGGGGTGACTTACTGCTGTTGAGAAATGGTGGATGACAGCAATAGAGATGCAGGCATCACAAGAACCGCTGCGGATTGGCACCGAGAGGGCGTCGCAGACAAAGGCCTGGAAATTTTTTTCTCCACAAATATCCACCAGGTTTTTGCTGCGATCACAGCCAACCTACAACAGAAAGGGTTTCATTAAGCTTTTCGTAAGAGCATAATTACAAGACTGGAGCATGATTTTCACTTGATGCTTACAGTAACAGAATCAACACAGTATCCTACTGAGGTAACACGTTTTAGTTTAAAATAAGAACGAGAGCGAGCGTGAGAAAATAGCCTTACATAAGAGGAATATATGGTTCTCGGGTATAGACAAAAAGAAAAATATGATGCTTAACACATAGATGGTAGACTGGATATTAGGCAGCTCATTGTACCACCCTGATTTTGAACCAGCTTAAGACAGAACAGGTTTCAACGTAACTTTTCTTCAAATCTGACTCTTAACATATCTTGCAACCAGCAAAACACAAGGTGACCTAACCTAGCCTCCGTATTTTCTTTTCCTTTCAATTACCGTTTGTAACCTGACAACATTTGAAGCAGCCAAATACAGAACTCACAAAAGCTGAATCTATAAGTATAAATGACAATCTGGTGACTTTGGTGGCATCGCTGAAGTATGTCGCACAGCTTCACTGATCACCCAACCCTCGTCACTTCAGTGCAAGTAAGTGCTCAGGTACAGTCTTCTTCACTCCCAGTACCACAATCCACAAAGATTTAAGCACAACATAATTTTCCAAGCTTCTGTACAGTCCAAATGAAGTGACCCCTGCCGAGTTTCAGCATCCATGCAGGGACAGGAACGACTCACACACTGCTGCAATGCACAACCAATTCCCTTTTATTGGTCTGCTTGCGTGGTTATATACATTTTCCATATCTGCACATGCGATCACGCTTATTCAGATAGGCTACAGACATAAATCACACGCTGTTCACGCTCCTCATATTCCCTTATGATTGGTAACTATGCACTAACGCCAGTAGCAACAGACCGCCTGCATGTCCTTGAACACATCTTGTTTTTGCTAACCCACATCATGTGCACTACCAGAACTTTCTCAATTGTTATTCTTAGCTGTCCTTTCCAGCAGCCTGTTCAGTTATGCGAACTGTTTTGCTTAAGCGGCCTAGTCATGCTAACTCTCAAGCTACATCAACCCCAACAGCTGTACGTTTTCAAACCATTGTAGAACATGCACCACATCTTAAGCATTTTGCTGCACTAATGCTACTTCACAGCTGTGCTAGATTTTTCCACCCATGAGGGCAAGTTCTCAATTTGACTGTATTCTTTCTGACACTTTGCCTGTCATATTAGAAAATGCTGGCTTGAGTTGAGTCACAGCATTATCCCAACTGCAGAACAAGGGCAGCCCTTCCCCACACACCACACACAGCACCAGCAGAGGAACACAGAATGAAGAGGGCACAGCTGCCTGCCTTGCTCAAGGGATGGCTCTCAAGTACTTCGGCGTTCAAAAAAGGGGAGGGAGGAAAAAGGGGAGGGGGAACACCCCACAAAAATCACGTAACAATTACTTCTGGTCAGCACAAACAGCCAGTACCAATAGATGTAAGCAGACAGTCTCACTTCTGCAAGGCAAGCAGAAGTTGTACGTAATACTGACTATTTTAATAATGAAATTGCTGAAAGGTTCCTGAAGTCCTTTGGCTCTACTTAGCATCAAAATAAAACCAAAAACTTACACAGGCACTAAATAGCTCGAATACTACAACACAAGGCATAATAAAGAAAAGGACAGGACAAGGGGCAAAGGGCACAAACTGAAGCACAGGAAGTTCCGTCTGAACAGGAGGAAGAACTTCTTCCCTCTGAGGGTGACAGAGCACTGGAACAGGCTGCCCAGGGAGGTTGTGGAGTCTCCTTCTCTGGAGACATTCAAGACCCACCTGGACAAGGTCCTGTGCAGCCTGCTGTAGGTGACCCTGCTTCGGCAGGGGGGTTGGACTAGATGACCCACAGAAGTCCCTTTCAACCCCTACCATTCTGTGATTCTGTGATATTTTTTTTTTCCCCTCTCTGAACCTTGCCCAGTTCCCAGATCAAAGACGGTAAGAAAAAGCATCTACAAGAGGTTTTTTACATGTTTGCATAAAAACAATAAATCCAAACCGATCAAGACCCTTCTGAAAGAACAGATAGAATGAGGCATGCACCACCATCATTTTCATGTCTGCCATGCACTTTGAATCCTCAAACCAAAGCCTTGCTACCAAGTCATGTAGCAAACTCGGCTTGCATGAGAATATTAAATTTATTTTTGTTTTCAATGATCAGCAACAAGTAGATGGCAGAGAACAGATTCATAATCCTAAATAATTACTGCTGACAGTGTTTAATGTATTTGACACAAGAAGAATGCTAATCCATGCTTTATGCAAAAAGAATAGCAAACAACTTGCTCTGGCTAATCAACCCAGTATAGACAACACCACTGCTAAAATTAAAAATCTCTTTTGTAATGACTAATGAAGATATATTTATTTTCCACCATAAGCTTTAATTTCATTGGTTCAAATCATTTTATCTTTCAGTCTACCATCACAGTTCTGAAGAAAACCAGGATTTGTTCCAGTCATACGTCCTGAAAGTTTCCAGGTGAGGTGCTTTCTAGTCAGGTCCCTGACTTTCAGTCCAAACTAAATGACACAGCTGTGAAAATGCCAACCTGACAACCCAAGATGATCCTCCACAAAAACAGCATGTCAAAAAACACATATGAATATGCGCATATTGTCCTGCCAGTTATCTCTAAACAGACCTGAAAAGATCAATGCTAGCATTGCTTTCCTCACATTTATTCCTTGGCCTCACCTCTGCGTTTACTGAAGCACTGACTGAATAGTGTTATTTACGAATGAAAAAAGAAAACTCTTGTTTGCTTGGAAGTAAACATAAAACCCCATCATTTCACCATGGAAGCCAACTGGAGTGTCTTTAAATTACTCTCATCATGGCACTGATTGAGCTGACAACCTGCATGTAGAGATTCCACGCCTCATCACCAGTGCCTTCAACTACTTTGGCAATTAAGACATCAGCATGCAGTATTTAATAAAGCTCAAAGGACCAAATTCAATTCTGGCAGAAGGAGGGGGAAGAATACTTGCAACTTCCACTGACAACAAGGTTTCCCAGAAAGAATTGCTTTGGCCCTGTGCGTCTATAGTGAAAAGGGACTGGATAATGGAATGCAATCCTCCCCTCTCAAAATGACCTTCAAAAAGGACTACACTGTATGTTGATGAAATCCAATGAACTAAGAATGAGAACAAAGGCATTGCTGCCAGAAGGTGAAGCCCTCATTTGCATCTAAATTATATCAAATAATTACAAAGTCAGGCTTACTTGTATTGTCATACTTTTTAAAGTGAATCTGCATCCAAAGCAAAAAGATTGTTTCGCAGTGAAAATGGAGACCTTGAAATAAATCACTTCGAATACATAGCTGCTCTAAAATAGGTATATTAGGCTAAAACTTTACATGGTTTTAAATGTAAACATTATAATAGGTGCTTTGCATATATACATAAATGCTGAACACAGGGAGTCACTACAGATATGCCTGGCAGTGAAGCTAAACAAATTTAGCATCCTTACTAGAATTACCTCTGCAGGTATTTTAAAAGAATTACAACCACCACATTCCTGCATTTTCTAGCTTACATGACACATGTATTCATTAAAATCAAAATACACTGGTTTCAGTCACTTAGAAAACAGTAAGCTAGTAAAAAGCAGCTAACTTCAGTGGTGCAACGCTAGCTTACAGCTGGAAAATGATGATTTTTATGAGTATAGAAACATTTACAGCACGTGTCAGAGAGCCCAAGTTCAGCTTTTCCCAATTCTGTTACTGATTTCTACATTCTGAAGCACACAGAAGCTTTGATGTGATGAAGTTTTGTTTACAGAAAACAGTTCAAAGGAATGTTTTAATTTAGAACAGGCTTATTTTTCTCTTTAATTAAACATGCGATCAAAATATTTTCTAAAATAATTCTCAAAATATAACTGGAATGCTTTAATTTTTGCCAGTTCAGATCTCTAACTTCGATGCTTAGCACAGGATATTGTCCTTGCTGACATATCTTCTAGAAGAGGGGAGAAAGGCAGATTAATTACTATTAGTTTAGTGCCCAAAACTAACAGAATCTAGTACATCTCTTGGTGAGCCAAGCTGCATACATTTTTAAAGTTCCCTATTTCTTATTATCTGTGAGTCTTCAATGATTATTTCTTATACCTGTTTTCTCAGTTTTCCAAATCAAATTACTTGCTGAAACCTCCCATTTTCTCATACCTCTCTCAAATAGCACGGCTGACTATTCAGCTGAATCCACCTCAGCATGTCCACCTCTCCGCAAGTTGCTCTACACCTTTTAGTATTTCCCCAAAGGAGGCTGGCTTCTCAGGTTTCTCAGATTTTACTCCAGGCAGCCATTCCCACATCCCTGCTTTTTCTGCAGGTACCTCCACCCCTCTCTTCACTCATTTTTGTGATGCAGACAATGGCTCACAGGAGCTCCAGAGTGGCCACTGACACCTATGTACTGGGGCTCAGAATCCAGATACAATGAAAATCAGTACCTGAAATCCCTGTTAAAAGTGTATCTATCTGGATAAATACTAACTGCATCCAACTCTTGTTTTAAGCCAGGAAATCTGTATTTGTAAGGAGGTCCGTAATGCCGCAACTAGAACCCCAGCAAACACAAAACATAAAAAAAAAAAAAAAAAAAA